ACGCAATCCCTGCACCAGCACTTCACCTCCCAATGATCCTCACGTGACGTGACCTCCCCATCACAAGACTATCACTAATGACCCACATTTGACCCATCACAAGACCCACAAGATCCTCAGTTGTCACACCCACACCTGACCCATCACAAGACCCATCAAAAGACCCTGACCTGAAGTGACCCTGATGTGAGGTGACCTTCCCATCACAAGATCACACAAAGCCCTTATAAGCAAAAGAATGCTGACATTCCTTAAATTCTACTGAAGATGTTACCTACCCTGGTAACGAAATGTTCAGAAACCAACCCACAAGCTCGGAGAACCAACCTCCACCCTCATTCTACATCCGAGCCACAGATATTCACCACTATCACAAATCTACATATGTATTTTTGCCAAATGTTTACTATCTATATCTGTCTCTTGACTAATTAGGGATTAGGGAATAAATTTTTGAGATTCCTCTGGTCCATAGAAATAATATGCATCCAGCTAAACAGCAACAAGAGAAGGAAAGAGTTCAGAACTGATTTTCCTCTCCTGTCAACGTAGCAATGGAGTATGCTATATAGCCGTGGTGGCAAACCTATGGCATGCGTGCCAAAGGGGGCATGCAGAGCCCTCTCTGTGGGCACGCACACCATCACCCCAGTCCTAGGCCTTCAGTTGGGTTTTATAAAACCATTTCGCTTTAGGCCTCCACCACTATGTGCAAAAAAAAAAGGTTCAATCAATCAATTTCAACTCGCGGGAAAAAAAAGATCTCACAAAGTTGGAATTGATTGAACTTTTTAATCCCACCCAGTCTGCCGTTACCACCACAGCCACGCCCACCCAATGGGCCATACCCACCCAATGGGCCATGCCCACCCGGCACCCGACGATACATAAGTGGGTTTTGGGTTGCAGTTTGGGCATTTGGTCTCTAAAAGGTTTGCCATCACTGCTATATAGATTCCATCATTCGATCAGGCTCTACCAATAGAATTATTAAATGGCTGAAATCATTAGAAGTATGCTCTATAGCCAGCTATAACAGTGTAGTTAAAAATCTAGTAGATAAAAATTATTTTTTATCTTGAATATCTTCAAGATTTCACCTAATAATCTTAGCCTATTCCATATATAAAGTAGTCAAATATGCACTATATGTCTTAGTGTGAACAACCATTTCTTTGATAATGTCTATACCCATAGGCAGGGCTTTTTTTCTCGGAGAAAAGGTGGCGGAACTCAAACCTGGCCACGCCCTCATCAAACCCTAGGACCGCCCCTTTAGAGAACAGGAATGCAAGTAAAATTTGGGAGGGGCTATTTCCGGTGCGGCCGGCCCGGAAAAAGGTGCCGGAACGCGGTTCCGCCGCGTTCCGGCTGAAAAAAAGCCCTGCCCATAGGAGATTATTGAAGTAGCAATGTAAGCCTCTTTCGGAAATGCATCTTTGACTGCCTTGTGCACTTTCGCTATTACAAATCAATTTGCTGTATGGTTTTACAGTCTGCATAATCAATTTCCATTCAGTACTAAACTCCATTTGCAATATATTTTTTTCATTATTCCTAATCCTATTTGGCTACAGCTTTTTCCTTTCATTCCTCATTTTGAATTCCACAGATATATTATCTTATTTTGTCCATTATAGTATGTCACAGTTGAATCATAGTTTGTTAAATAAATCACAATAGGAAGAATTTGAATGATGCAGTACAGTAATCTAGCATCAAGGCACACTGATTATAACCTATATATGTGTACCAATCACTGATTACAAGCCTATGGAGCAAGTGGGTCACCACTGGCCGAGTGATAAAACACTGGATATGCATTCTTACCACTTTCAGCCATTTCTTGTTGTACATGGGCAGGACTGTACGGCTCATTAGTAATGGGTAGCTCTTTATTCAGAGTTGAGGATACAGGTGACTCATTAGCATGGCTCTGATACAGCAATTGTCTTTGATGCAACCTAAATACAAATATTTGAATGATTTTATTTCATTACTTAAGAATACTAGAGTCAGAGAACCACTGTTTTTTAATATCACAAATGTTAGCAAGAGTTAGCAAAATACACACAAACACACACATACATATATAATGCAAATTAACTTTTCTGACCTTAAAAAGCAGCTTAAAAGATCTTATAAATCAAGGCCTGCCTGAACAAGTTAAAATGATTATATTAAATTATATAAAAATGGTTCACAACAATGATATTCACACCTTTGCTTATGTAGTATTTTTTCCAGTTTGGCATCCTCTGCTGTTTGGAGTCCAAACATAGTAGTAAGAGGACAAACACTGGCCAAATATTGTACTAACTGAAGGTGCTGGCCTGGTCGGAATGATCTTCCCTTTCCTTGACTATAAAGCCATTCTGCTTTCAAGCTATAAGGAAAGAACAAGATTAGTTCTACTAAACATTTTGAAAGTCCTTTCTATTAGAAACATACAAAGCATAAAGAATAGCAATTGAAATCCGGAAGTAATAGATGTAATTCAGAAGCAACAGCAAAAAAAAAAAAATGTTGACATTGGGAGAAAGCAATAATTTTCATGAATTCCAAAATAAACTATTTCAGCTACATACTGAATATCCAATGTCTACTTTTATCTTCAGGAGTATATAAATTAAAACCAGAACTTGAAGTACAGTAACTTGCGTTAGAATTTGATAAGACTTAAATATACATAAATGAAAATAAATGTATTCATATAAAAATAACTAGAACTATTTTATAAAGAACAAACAGTCTTTCTACTCAATATTATCCAAACATGGTCCCATATTATTCCCTTTCAGCTATGCAAAGTACAGGGAAAAAAGTAAGAAATAATTAGAATAGAATAGAATAGAATAGAATAGAATAGAATAGAATAGAATCTGGAAGGGACTTTAGGTCTTCTAGTCCAGCTCCCTGCTCAAGCAGGAGAACCTATACCAGGGGTCGGTAACCTTAAACACTCAAAGAGCCACCTGGACCTGTTTCTCACAGAAAAGCAAACATTGGGAGCCACAAAACCTTTTTGATATCTAAAATGAAAATAACACTGCATATATCCTTTTTTACCTTTATGCTATGTATAAAAAAAACTATAGTGTGTTGCATTTATGAAATCAATGAACTGCTACAAAGAAAACAAATTTTTATGCCGGAGAAAGAGAGGAAAAAAACCTTTCTCCTTCATCCCAACAGGTGAAAACAATTTTAGTCGCTTATTTAGCATCTTCAAATACAGCATAATTATCCCCATACCTCATCTCTTAATTTAAAAAAATCAAAATATTTCATTAAACGTTCTTTACTAAAAGTCCAGTAAAAACATCATATATTCATACTCTCTCTCTCTCTTTCCTCTCCCTCTCTTTCTCTCTCTCTCCCCCTCTCTGTTTCTCTCTCTCTCCCTCTCTCTTTCCTCTCCCCCCTCTCAACTTCTGCTCACCTGGCCATCTGGCCTCACGCTGTTCTCCGAGAAGCTGACACACATTCTTATTGGGCTGGCTCTCTCCTGCCCTTGGTCTGCCAGTCCTCTTCCCCTACTAAGTAAGCAAAAGTGTATGTTTGTGTATGTGTGTGTGTGTGTGAGAGAGAGAGAGAGGGAGAGAGAGAGATAGAGAGAGATATGCTGCTTTCTGCGGACACGCAGCAAGGGCAGGGAGCCCGCCCAAAAAGCTTGTCAGCTTGTCGGAGAACAGCGTGAGGCCAGCTGGCCAGATGAGCAGAAGATCGGAGAGAGAGAGAGAGAGAGAGAGAGAGAGAGAGAGAGAGAGAGAGAGAAGAGAAGTGCCTCTCTCTGTCTCTGTCTCTGTCTCTCTGCAAATGGCGGAGGAGGACTGGGAGCCACAGTAGAAGGCTGAAAGAGCCACATGCAGCTCCAGAGCCGCGGGTTGCCGACCCGTGACCTATAGCATCTGACAGGTGATTGTCTAGTCTTGTCTTAAAAATATCCAGTGATGGAGCACCCACGATTTCTAGAGGCAAGCTGTTCCACTGGTTGATTGTCCTCATTGTCAGGAAGTTTCTCCTTAATTCCAGGTTGCTTCTCTCTTTGATCGGTTTCCAACTATTGTTTCTCGTTCTTCCCTCTGGGGAACATGACTTCCTCTTCCTTGTGGCAGATACTCAGATACTGGAATACTGCTATCATGTCTCCCCTATTTCTTCTTTTCTGTAGACTAACCAAACCCAAGTCCCGCAGCCGTTCTTCATATGTTTTCGTCTCCAGGCCTTTGATCATCTTAGTTGCTCTTCTCTGAATTTTTTCCAAACTCTCAACATCTTTTTTGTGATATGGTGACCAAAATTGGCTGCAGTATTCCAGGTGTGGTCTTACTAGGGTTTTATAAAGCAGTACTAATACTTCGCGTGATCTTGATTTTATGCCTCTGTTTATACAACCCAGGATTGTATTAGCTTTTTTGGTTGCTGCTGCACACTGCTGGCTCATAGTCAAGTGATCGTCCACTAGGACTCCAAGGTCCCTCTCACAATTACTGTTTTTAAGCTGAAAAAAGGAAATGTAACTGTGCTATATATTACCTGCCTAATCTTGTAACTTTCCAAATAAACCTTATTGTACATTTTGTTTTTTAAACTTTTCATCTCTTTCTTTTTGAGGTCATCAATTTTATCCACAACTACAAAATCACAATTTCCTCAGTCTTCTCTTTCATTTCTTGTAACCACTGCATTTCCCAAATTTTAATCACTGGTACCTCTTGTACTCTTTCAGTTAGAATTTGGGCAAATGCTTTCCTAATCCCTTGAATTTCTTCTATTTATTCTTGCTACCTTTATATAAAGGAACAACAATGGCATTTTACCAATCATCAGGCACAATGTAGTTTTCTCATATATGTTAAACAATTTGCACAGTCACTGCAAAGGCAACTCTTGTACTATCTGAAACTGACAAAATCTTAATCAGTTTTGCCTTTTAAAGAAAATAGCCAATGCCAGCTCATAACTTTCTATGTGTATTTCCCATTGTGTTCCTGCTTACTCTTTTCACTTTGAGAGCAGGCAACTAAATTTCATTTTTGATGTGTGCCGTTGTGCCCACAGTAAAAAAATGACAATAAAGGTTATCATATCTTATCTTGTAATCCCTTCCTTTTCATCGACTCCATTACATATCCATTACATATCAATACAATAAATACAAACATTAATTATCTTCTTGTAATTATCCTTGCACTGGGTGAGTTTTCCCAACACTGGGGGAATGGGGGGAAAGGGCTATAAAACTTGCCCTTCTTATCAGTTGAGTTTGGGAAACCTTTCCTACTGTTTGGGCTCACCCAAGCTATTTGGGCTAATACCCTTGTGATGCTATAAATGCTGTATATTCAGGGACAATTTCTTATTAAAACTTTTTCAAGATTACTATCCTGACATCTCTCTTCGTTTTCTCATTCTTTGATATTTGTCTTGCAAATTCTAAATGACGGATTGATACATAGATTAATGGCAACACTCAGTTTAATCATATTCTTACCTTTCTTTCTGAGAAACCACATACCCATCAATTACTTTAAGACTAAGACACCAACTGACAATAAATGGTCGGTAATCAAAACCCGGAATGTTAGGGGTTGCCATCACACAAGGATTGTTCATAATTGAGAGTTGCTCTAGTTTAGGAAAACAGGTCAAGAAAGAAATCTAAAAAGAAAAGGAAATAATTATTTTTGTGATTAAATGTAAAGAAAATTTACAAGGCTGAACAGCACTATACATGTATCCTACAACTTAGTTATATTAGATGTTTGAGGGGAAAATTATTTTACTTGCTTAATTTTATTCAAAGACTATTGTTTTATTCTATTATTTCCCAGAATTTAATAAACATAAATAGAATATTTTCTGCCAATAGCTTTATTGTAATATGGAAGACATTTCAATTACAAGTAATCCTCGACTTACAACCACAATTGAGCCCAAAATTTCCATTGCTAAACAAAGACAATTAAATGAGTTGCACCCCATTTTACAACCTTTTTGTCACTGTGGTTAAGCAAATCACTGCAACTGTTAAGTGAAACATGCAGTTATTAAGCAAATTTGGCCTCCCCCATTGACTCTGCTTGTCAGAAGCCAGCTGGGAAAGTTACAAATGGTGATCATATCATCCTGGGATATTGTAACTGTCATAAATACATGCTAGTTGCCAAGCACCCAAATTTTGATCACATGACTACGCTGTAACGGTCAGGTGAAAACTGGTCACAAGTCATTTTTTTCAGTGCTGTTGTAACTAACGATCATTAAACAAATGTTGTAAGTAGAGGACTACCTGTACAGTATTTCTTGTTCTTGTAAGTCTATAATTCAGGGGTCCCCAATTTGTGGGCTGCAGCCCACTAATAGGCCATGGCCTGTTTGCAACCGGGCTGCATGAGTGGTGGGCCAGCGCGTATGCAGCTCAACCTACACAAGTGGATGCTGGCACTTGCACCCCACTTGCGCGAGCGGCGGGTGCAGGCACACAGGCGCACACAGCTTCATTTGTGTGAGCAGCGGGCGCATGCTCACACAAAACCATCCCTTCTTCCCTCCCCCAGGCGGCCAACCCAGAAAGGTTGGGAATGCTGCTATAATTAGACATGAAATTAAGAATATAAAAACAAAAGGTCATCCACATGTTCGTAGATCCTCTTTACCTCCAGAAAACAAACCAAAATCACAGTGAATTTTCATGGCTCAAGACAGATTAAATAAAGACATTCCCCATGTCTAACATGTTTTAAAAAACCATACTGCACACTGAACTATTTCTCTTTTTGATAGTTTATTGAAAAAAATTAATCTACTGTCCATCTTCATGTCCCAAAGTATAATTGCTGATAGTTTTAAGAGGAAAGTATTTATAACTTCATGATTATATTTGCTTCAAGCATGATTCCTCCCTGCTTCATCTAAAAGGGTGTTTAAACCAAAGTTAAATATACACTACCTTTCAAATGATGTTTTTACTTCTTAATCTGTTCAAGCTGATCATTACTAAAAAAAAAGGTACAGAATACCTGTACCAGGAACATTTGTTCCTCTCTCCCCTTAGGTAGCATCAATTTTATTTTTGTTTTAATTTCTGTGTTTATTAAATGTAGAGTAATCCAAAATTTAATTTTGTTCATAGTAACTGATATTTAAATTTCAAAAATATGCTGCAAAGAAATTACTGTAAGAATCTGTCTCAAGAAATGTCATTCCCCCTTTACAGTATTTTAATGGTATTTAATTACTAACATATTTAATTACTTAAACAATCAATTAAATGACTGCTATTTACTGTCATTTAATTTTAAAATCTACATATCTTGTGCCCAAAATATAGCCATAAAAATAAAAATTTAGATGAAAGTTTAATGAAATGTAACTATAGTAATTTAGGCTTTCTCAAAAAATGTATTCAGTTTTCTTCAAAAACATTATTCTTACCTCATTCAAATCTCTAATTTCATTTTCTGCCAATGAAAAAATAGTCAGGCCTTGAGGTAAACAAGAAGGTGCTGAACGCAATGAAGTTATGATATTTCCATGCAGTAGTAGAGTCTTGAGGAATAGAATAGAGAAAGCAGTATGTAGAAGTTTACTTTAATAATGTGAATTGC